TCGTTCCATCTATTTATCCAGTATTTCTCATGATAGGTTTGTATTTCTGTGCTTCCTTGTTTTCCACTGGTCTGGAATTCCAATACAAGACAATCCTATGCAAAAAAATGTACAGGTCTATATGAACTTCAGAATTATAATAACCTTTAGCTGCTGAAAGAAACACAATTAAGCAGCAATCTTTAGTTTATAGGCCTATCCTGTCCCTTCATGATTTTGGAGAATGCAAAAAATCCACATAAATGTCATTCACGTTTGACCTGGTCTTACAAAAATGAACAGTAATGAAGAAATCTGCAATACATCCTACTTCAGATTCTAGCCATGCAAAAGCGGTTTTTTAGGAGTCATCAGTACAAAGACTTGCTCACATCTTGTCAAATCTTTGTGCTATAACACATATAGCTGAAAACAAGACACAAAATTAATAAATACGGGAAATTTAATGAGCAGATATAATCACGTAAGTGTTTTACACTGTTCCTACAGCTGTGTGTGTGAGTAAGTATTTCTTGTCAAACTTAGACATGTAATTTCAAGTTTCAAATTAAAACAGCATTGGGTTTTGATATTATTTTGGAATACCTTAATAATTTTACTGTATTTGGCTGTCAAACTCTTTTTCATAATAATAAATGATATGAGAGTATATAAAATACTTCAGTAATTAGGGGCAAAAGCAGAATATCATAATGTATTTCAACATTCTGTATGTTAATGAAATAACCACAATTCTGTTAACAGTTACTGCAATTCTGGCAGACATATAAATCATATGAAAGAAAACCCAAACCCAATAATTAACTAGACAAACGACATCAGCAAATTAAGATCCTTTAGAGTTTTGCCAAGGAAAACTGTGACTAGTGAAATTAGATACAAGATCAATCACTGAATGTAGCAGGCTTGGCAGAAGGGAGTCAGAAAAAACTCATGATCTGGGAATATGTGCCTGACTACATGGACAGGTTTAGTAAATAAGAACCCATGCCTGCTTGAGATGAAGAGGCAGGAAATTCCCCCTGGCCTCCTGCCCCCAAAGGAAAGAGGACTTGTAGTACTAGAAATCTTTGGCATAGTATTTAGGGTTTGTTGTTGATAGATAAGAGAAGATGATGAAAGAGGAATCGGCTTTTCTGTACATGGTCAGCATTAATTGTGTGTGAGAAGGGAAGAGGACTGAGAAGGTTGGTGCAAAGAGTAAGAAAGGAATCAGGGAACCTGCATGCTGGATGAGGAAGGGAGCACTCCACATCCTTGCACCTGCCTGGGAGAGGGCATCATTCCCAAGCCTAACCACTGCGTTTTTCATTCATTAAAGGAAACAGTCAAATTCACTTTTAATTTACTGAGAGAAAGTTTTAATATATAACCTTAGCTTTTAGCTTTTGCTACCTGCTCTCAGTATGGCATTCTGCATTTCCAGAAGCAGAATGGAAAAATGGTTTGATTTCCTAGGGAATTTTTCTGAAGTTAGATAATAAACTTTCCTGGCAATTGAGCTCATGGAGATGACATGTGGAGACTGATGTATTAGGTCTCCCTAACTGCAGAAGGCATCCAATTATGTAGGGAAGTAATGAGAAAGGTACCACTAGTAGCTGGGCATCCCCCTTTGAGCCTTGTGAGGTCTTCTGTTTCTAAAAGTAGCTACAGCCCAGCATGGAAGGAGAAGGAAGGGGAATATTCTCCTTCCATAAGCATGAATTTCTTAATGATTTCTCGTCTCTGTACACTCTCTTCTCTCAAACTCTTACTACATAAGCCAAATCCAAGAAAGGCCTCCCAGGACAAAGTAGGTACCACAGACTATTTGCAGGTATACTTATGACTGAGGTAAATTAAAAATGGTGGCCAGTGTGAAGAGCTACAAAAATACATGGCAAGTGATATGTGGTTGATACTCAATGAGTGTCCAGGTAATAAAATGGCAGATAAAATTGAGTGGAGATTGCCATCAAGTGATATGGGGAAGAAACTATTTCAGCTTAACATATACAGTGGTATACCTAGAGTAGATAATTACCATTATGGCCTGAAATCATGCCATATAAATAGATACTTCCATGAAAATACCACCTCATAGCTAAACAGCTGTCAAAATACATGGAACACAATTAATATCTATGTGAAGTAATAGATATGGAACATACAAATACTTCACAATCATTGAATGCAACAGCCTAAGGTAACAATACCCACAGACATAAATGTGCCCAGTTAGACTTTTTGGAACAGTTTGTTTCTTTACATTTGCAGTGCTTCAAATCAGGGTGTTGATCCTGTTGTTACAGCAAAATCATGACCCAAACTGAAACAGGCAGCAAGTAGCTTAAATCAGTCACCACTGGGTGTTTCCTACACTACTGTAAAATAACAAATGTCGCCAACATAAACAAATTAAGAACATGTAGTGTTTTAGAAAGCTAGATGTCAACATTACTGTACTATTATTGACATTAAAATAGAAAATACTAAAAGCTTGGTATTAGCAGATATCGTAATACAAATTAATTGTACAAATCCCAGGCTGGATCCCTCCATACCATGTCCTAACTGCCAAGTATAGCATATCTTCCCTACCAGTGGATCCCTTGGCCTACAGGCTGTCACCTACTGGGACCCAGCACAACTGTGGGATGCAGACAAAGTCAACCCCTTCATTCTTAGTGAGATAGATCTTAGCTATACTTCCTGGCATTGTTTTTGCCATCCTCAGTTAATTATTTTTTCATTTCTTCTACAAAATGTATTACCTACCAGGTGCTGCTCTGTTCTGAAATGTTTGTGTAAGTAGCTTTACATTCATTTGTCAAATAAATTAACCTGGCATATTCTTTAATGCCTTCATTTTTTCTAACTAATTGTAAATCATTCATCCTCAGACAAATTTAATCCTTAATGCTCTGCTGGATTTTAATCAAATAATAAAACAAGTGATACAGAAACTACAATAGGATTTTAAATCACTACAGATTATCTGGATAACATTACAAAGGCCATCTTGTCACATGTCCAAAGATTGGACTTACAAAATGTCTTTTTACTGACAGAGGTGGGTTGAGCCTAGCTGGACACCATGTGCATGTGCCCACAGAAGTCATTCTATCATTCCTCTCCTCACCTGGACATCAGAGAGAAAATACAACTAAAGGCTCCTGGGTATAGATGAGAATAAGGGAGATCACTCAGTAATTACTGTCATGGGCAAAACAGGCTCAACCTATTTATTGTCAATCAAATCAGCATAGTATAATGAGAAATAAGAACAAATCTAAAATCCATCTTCCCTCCACCCCTACATCGTCCCAGGCTCATCTTCATTTGCAAATTCTCCACATGCTCACCTCCAGCAGAACAAAAGGATGGGCAATGGGGGCTCCAGTCAGTTCCTCACATGCTTCTGCCACTCCTTCCTCCTCAGGGGAGGACTCCTCACACTCTTCCCCTGCTCCAGAATGGGGTCTCTCCCACAGGAGACAGTCCTTCATGAACTTTCCTTCATGAACTTCTCCAATGTGGATCCTCCCCACAGGCTGCAGTTTTTCATTAACTGCTCCCACAGGGTTCAGCCTTTAAAGGACAGACTGGGCCAGTGTGGGTCCCCTTACGGGGCCAGCAAACCTCCTCCAATGTGGGTTCCTTGCTCCATGAGGCCACAGGTCCTGCCAGGAGCCTGCTCCAGCACAGGCTTCCCACAGGGTCACAGCCTACTTCAGGCATCCCCCTGCTCCAGGGTGAGGTGCTCCATGGCATATCTGCTCCACAGCGGATATTTGCTCCAACATGGATTTCCATTGAGGGGCAGCTGCCTCACCATGATCTGCACCATGGACTGCAGGGGAATCTCTGCTCAAGCACATGGGAAATGTGAAATCTAATGCAAACTGAAACTGAACCTGAACAGTGAAAGTAGTTAGAGGACAAGTGCAACTACTGCAATAGTAGATAGTATTTGCAAATCCCTGCAAGTCACTTCCTAAGAAACAAAATTATATACATAACATAGCATGTTATACCTTAATAACTTCAATGGGTTTTAAGTGTTTTCGCTTTTCATTATAGCCCTTCTTGCCTAGCTGGCTTTTCTCATGCAACCACTTTACAGACTGAAGAAACATATCTTTGCAATATTCTCTACAACAATGTATTTGCTGACAAATGGAACAGCCAGTAATTGCAAGATTCCTCATGTCCACAGGCAGGGTCTCTGGCAGGAGGTCAAGTTCTTCTCAGAGTCAACTACAAAGCTCTTTTATCTACCTAGAACATGTCTTTTTAACACTTGTTTTCCATTTACACCGAGAACAAATTTTCAGGTTTCATCTGGTACCTCAGGGATAAGTATATAGTGCCACTACCAAGGAAGCTATTGCTGGCATTCCACCCCCCTAGCCTTTTTGCATTGCTGGTATATAGCTCTGAGTGCATCACACAGAGTGCAGATAATTATTTCAGTTAGCAAAAATCCACTGGAAAATTGTTGATTTTAATTAAATAGAGCTGCTGATCTGCTTTACTGTGTTGCCTCCACAAAGAGCTGAAGATAAAGAAGTGGGTGACTTGGGATGGCAACACTGCCACATTTAAAATTTATTCTCCTTTTTCACACTAAAATGCAGGACTTGGGAGTGACTAATTAGATGACCCAAAATTTTTCCTTTCCTAAAGAACATATGCCCAGTATGTTTCCGACAGTTTTCTACTCTCCTCTCAGTTCATGGACTAAATTACTGTGCAAGTCCTACGTCAAAGTTGCACTGCCTTCCAAGAAAATGTTGGTTTTTAATTGGTACACTAATAATCACACACATGAATCAATTATTTCACTGTTTTGCTGTACAATCCACATACATCGAAATGCTTAATTCACAGAATCACAAAGTATGCTGATGTGGAAGGGAGCCACAAGAATAACGTAAGATTTATTAAGTATATTTTTATATACTGGCCAAATTCCCAGTTCATTATTGCTTGATGAAATAATAACAAAGTTGGAATATGTTAGATTATTTTTTGGTATTAATTTATTTTTGCTATTAATTTAACTTTTATACAGAAATATACAGCTTATCATAACCTTAACATCATTAGAGCAATTGGATGGAATATTTTAAGTTGAGCTGATTTTGAAGTCCTCCTGTCTAGGTTAATAGTCTCTCTTCTGCTCGACAAACAAAACAGAAAGACAAGATTATTTCCTTTATTTAGGACCCATCCTCTGACAGGAGTAAATGATGAACAATGCTTCTTGGAGCAAAGTTATATCCTGAAAACTGTTATGCACTGATCTTCGTCCAGAGCTCAGTATCTGAAGACTTGCATGAATGAGGGCCAAAGTCCTCAGCATCTTGCAGGAGGGTGTTCATAATGAAGCAGACTCTGCAGGAGACAGGATCAGTGTTCTTTAGAAATGAGCAGGCTGTTACAACACATGATTCATTTACCACTGGGAAAAAAAAAAAAAAAGAAATATAAAAGCAGATTAAAGTCTTCACTTTATGCAGTCTTTTAATACATCTTGAATTAAACCTATGGCATCCAGGAATCTGGATCACTATTTCAGAGAAAGTATTTTGAGATAGCAAACATAGAGATTACAAGAAAGGCTCATCATGCTACAAATTCATATGAATGCCATCTCTAGATGTAAGGGAGAAGATTCAGAAGATAAAGCTATGAGACATGCAGTACCTTAACCCCAAATGAAATAATAGACCTACTAAGGAGCTTGGGGTGAGAAGGGAAAGGGGACTGAGAGCTACTGCAAGGCTGGCAAGAGCTGCAGAGCATTCAGTCTTATTAAGACAACTGCTAACAGCTTTGGAACATAAATAAATAAATATTGCATACCATCCCAAAGCCATTGATGTCTTCACACTGTGTCTCATCAGAAATAAGTAAGAAAGAAGAAATGTGAGATCTACAACTGTAGCATGAGGTCCACAGGCAAGACGAATATTGACATATTCTTAAACATACATTATAATAGAGTCCATGAAAAAATGTGGCCAAGGGAATAAAATCAGAGACTGAAGCCATGGCTGAGGTAGAACTTGCATTTTATTTCTTTTAAACATCAGTATTATAGTCTAGGATAAACTGTCTCAGGACTGTTTGATTCACAAACCCCTTTAGAAATACTTGCTGGAACACAAAAAGTGTCTCCCAGCTATTAAAGAAAATGGGTCATTGGTTTGTGCATTCAGATGCTTTCAAATAATGTGTCTTTTTAAACTTTAAACATGTCTTATTCTATACTGTCATCAGTAATGAACACGCATGTACTTTGGTGCATATGAAAATAATGGCTGAGACACCAAATGTTTGATATACTGCACATGTACTATTCATTAATTCTCCCTGACAATTTATAGGCAGAGCTTTCAGGTTATCTAAATATAAACTTGCATATAGCTTCAGAGCTTGGAGAGTTCACTGTTGTAACGCGGCATGCGTAGTTCACACCCTTTTTAAATGCAGGCAACTTTTCTTCTCCATGATTTCCCATTAGGCCTCTATAGTGCACTTGCCAGAAAGGCTGAAGCTCAGCAGGTGTGGTCTTTCTGCAAATATTTCCCAGTGGAAGTTTAATGTGAACCTCTCACACATATAAAAAATATAATATGCAGAGAAATGTTTGCTGGATGAGGACCTCAGATTTAAAATTCAGAGGGGAAGGGACCGTGTACGTATACACCAACTATGTGTATTTGAAAGCTGCTAAATCATTTAAAGGCACAGTTCTAGAAAAACCATAGGCTTATTCTGGAAACCAAAGGGCATTCAGAGTACTTAACACTCAGCATAATGTTTTGTCAAATGAAAGTTAAAAAGTGCAACCACATGTTTCCAGGTAGGTGGCATGAAGATTATTCACTTAGTCTTTACAAAATAGTTTGTAGATTAAATGTTGTGCAAATGTTAACGTGTAATTGAACATATTCTCAGTGCACCTTGGTGCTGTCATGCTTGTTAGGACACAGTGATTACAGTAGTGTTTTTCTGAGAGGGAGATTACATTTCTCACAGATTCTGTTCCTGACCCAAGCACAGTGTATGACCTTGTAGCTAAAACTGACCATACCAACATCTGGCCTGAGAGCAACCATATTATACTATTTGTATTATCTTTTAAAGAGAAGTTAAAATTGATATCTTGTAATGTAAGGAAGTTATCCCCCCCCTTTCAGCTGAACAATCTGTTCAAGGCTCTGAGTCTGGACTCATTGCACATCCCACGTAGCTAATTCCTAGAACAAACAATTCCTTTGGGGGTCTAAAATGCTCACTGGATTCTGACTCAGTCAGAATAAATAATTTCTAGCAGGAAAGAAATCAAATTAGCTCAGTTTTGAGGCACACATGATGGGAGAAGTAAAGGCAAGGCATCAGTGTAATTTCATTACAAGGCAACTGACTATAGTCAGTTACAAGAAAAGTTACAGACACTGCCTACTTAGTTATTTATTTTATGGAAGCACTGTGTGGGCCATTAGCTCCTGCCTTCTGCAAAACTCCTTTCTAGTCCACCTATATTTCACTAGTTAACACTGTATTTACATCACACAGTGGAGAAGAATTGGGGACTTTTGCACTAGAGGCAAGTATTTTTTTTTTTTTATTTTAGTAACAAAAGGGGAAAAGTGCTCACCACTTTTAATGTTTAATTAGGCAAGATCTGTCACCTTATGATGGAGAAGCATTATTTCATGTGATAAAAAATACTGACATTTCTCTTTAATATATGCTAATAGTACCACGTAGAACCCTTTTTTCTTATTATTTCCTCATGCCTAATCCACCACCTGCAGTCTGAATTACCATAAATAAATGGATACTAAATCTTATGCCAATGGTACCTCCACCACACTGTGATTTCTGGGTACATTGTCCACATTCATTGTGCCACAGTGACTGAACTTGCTTCGGGACAGACCTGCATTGCTAGAAGACTGTTGCCCCTCCTCATCCTGAAGGTATTTGTCAAAACCCTTAATGTTTGATCTTCTATTTGCTTTTTTCAGTTTCTACCAGAGCATTAACTAGTAAGCTGCTGTCATCTATTCCTGCTGATAAATTGATGGTGGAATAAGCACCTAGTGAGGCTGAAGCATACAGGGCTTGAATATGACAACCACTTCATGGACGGCCACAATAAATTCATAACTGCCTCTCTGCAGACGAGTGCTCCTAACACAAGGAATTAGCACAGTACAGTAGGATCACCATTATGCTTTTAAATGACAAGCTGGTTCACACATTGGAGCAGCTGAGTAGTGCAGCAGTAAATTGCAGTTGGGCTCCACAGTACAGCTATGTGCATATTGTATCCATCTCCTGCAGGCCTGGTTAGTGCTGGCCAACCAACATTAAAACTGTTGGGGTAATGGAGTTCTTTGGTTTGGCCACAGATTGCAGGCATCAGAAGTAAACCAAGACCTGGCTTTCAGAGAACAGGGAGCTAGGGTAATACTAGGGTAATACTCATACCACTAGTTCAGTTACCACAAATAATGTTGCCTGCAGCATCTTTGCACTGTGAGGGCAAGTTCAGAGAAGAACTTTGCCATACAGAAAAGATAGATGATAACAGGATTTTGAGAAAGTCTTGTATTTTCTGACTCATTAAACTTCTCTTCATTGCCAAATAGAACTTGGCAAAAGAAAGTCTGACTGTGCTTACAGCTGCAGGGAGGGAGGCAGAGTGAGATGCAATTTCAGAAGTCCTTTCAAGAGCAAATGAATGAGTAATGAAATGGCAAATTATATTAAATCCAAATATTAAACATACACAATGGATTACTTTAATTTACTTAGCACCACTTAGGAAAGGCCTCTGCGTCATTGTAGCTGTTGTACTTCCCCCAGCAATGCCTTCCTTTTGAGGCATGTCACAGCACAGACTGCATGAGCTGTGTATAAAATCAATGTAATTCTCTTTTTAATGGAGATCTAGAGGTTTTGGCTAAAGCCATAAGGGAAATATGTGGTGTGATCATTCACTAGAAGAATTATGAGGACTGTAATGGTAGGATAGAGTAACAAGTAGTGATATGTATATTTATGTATTTATTTATTATGTAGAAACACTTAAACACATTTTGAATAATGTTTTTCTTCAAGAATTCTCTTCTTACAAGTATGAATCCATAAAACAGCTCACAAGCTTAAGCAAGAAGACGCCTGTTTATTTATTTAATGCTGTGAAGTAATGTTTTTATCGGTCTATTCTAAAATTTATAATTTACTCATATTTATCACTACAGCTTATTTATTGCCCAAATTTGTTTAATTATTGGATAATATTTCCTCAAATAAATAAACCATGCCCTTCAACTGTCCCTTGCAGTCAATTATATTAACTAGGACAGCTATTCTTTCGACATTTTATAAGACACTGAAACTCTCATCTGAACTAGGCCACCAACTAATTGCTATGCACAGGCAACAACACCACATTATTTCTGAAACTCTGTCATTCTTGTCCTGTAACTGCAAATCCACAGTGATGGTGAATTATCTTGTACATGACCACTTGAAACCAGAAAGTCTGCTGTTTAAACAAAGTATCTGTTATTTCTTTTCTTTTGCACAACAGAAAATAAAATTGGACATTTTTACAAATTAAGCTCAGAAGAAATAATCTTAACTATGTAAAATGACATAATGCTATTTGGAAAACATTGTCAAATTTCAAAATGACCAGGTTAGTTCATCTTCAAAATATTGCCTTAGAAATACAGCATCCTTTTGGGGTTTTGGTATGGGAAGTTATTGTTATCTCAGTAGAAGTCTTTATTAGATGCTTGTTAGTTTCATATTAAGAATTTATATTATGCAGAACCACTGCTATATTAAAGCTATAGTCTCCAGACCTTTGAGGGCCTCTATAGAGCTGTATAGAAAGACTCTTTGGATGACAAGGTGAACAGATCTATCAGTGAATAAGTTCATGGGACATCAACTGCTACTACCTGAATAATCATGAGGTGAGAATCATCTTAAAAGTGCTTGGAGAGAAACACTCTTCTTTATGCTCTAGTGAAGCATGAACTATGAGCCATTATTCGAGTGTTCTCTTTCAGGTGATAAGCTTGGTAAAATGATAAACAGTGCGATGGAGTGCACCCTCAGCAGGTTTGCCAATGGCACAAAGCTGTGTGGTATGGTTGACATGCTGGTGGGAAGGAATGTCATCCAGACGGACCTGGACAATCTTGAGAGATGGGCCTATGTGAACCTCCTGAAATTCAACAATACCAAGTACAACCCTAACCCTAGCCTTGCACTTGACCAGGACAATCCTGAGTACAAATACAGGCTGGGTGGAGAAAGGATTGAGAGCAGTCCTGGGAAGAAAGACTTGGGGGTTTGGTCGACAAGAAGCTCAACATAAGCTGTAACAGTGTACTTGCAGACCAGACAGGCAACTACATCCTTTGGGCT